TTTTTTTTTTTTGTCTTATGATAAAATCAGATCCCTCAACTCTGTTCATGACATGTTAAGCTCAGCACCAAAATGCATCTTTTTGGAAAACCTAATCAAGAAAAGCCTATTAAAGGTAAAAAAAAAATCCTTATTGAAAATACACATTAGCACACTAAGCATAGTAAAATGACTCTGGGACAGTTGAGGAATTGGTTAATGAAGTCTGAATTTAACTGCATTTTTAAAAACATAGTCCTACTTTTTGCTTAAGCCTTGAAGCATTGTTTGGAAGTTGTAATTTTGAAAAATTGCTTGGGGACAGAAAGCAGCAGAGTTTTTGAATGTTGCTCAGGGGAGCTACAAAATTGGAGACCTGAGTAGATCTAAGAGCCGTAGTTCATTTATTTAATTCTGAACCTGATATTAAAGGGCTAAGCTGGAAACCTCTAAAAAGCAGAATAAAAATTCCTGAGTTTTGAGTTGCCTAGGAGACCAAGACCTACCCCGAGGATTTGGGGTATGAGTGGGGTGGGGGAGAACATCAGTGAGGAGAGTTGAAGGCCCTGAAGTGAGTGGCAAATGGACTCTTTTTACTTGGGGGCACCTGCCAAGTAAGTTTCAACTAGAAATTGAGAATTCAGGTGTATAGACTCCATATTTGATTGGGTTGCAATGACAGAATGGGAAACTTGGTGGGATTGTGTGTGTATGTGTTAAATACACAGTTAGTCTTCCATTAAAGATATTTGCCAAATTTTAAACCTGTGTATGGTGGGCACTAAGCAGAAAATAAATACCTAAAAGGCCAAGCCATCACTGGAGACTAAAGTGTCAAAGACCAATCATACTCTCAGTTGAAAGCTGTGGAGTCAGGTCTTAGGATATGAATCAAACCAGAAGTAGATCACAGCTTCCCCAGTCCGCAGCACAGTCTCACCCCCTCTCAGTTCCTTTCCTGGATTAATGTAACTTACCTTATGCTCTGTCTGCCCAGCAGAATGAGGAAACAGTCCTCCCATCATCTGGAACCTCTATGAATCTGCATTCAATAAAAAATTACTAAGTATATGAAGAGACAGGATCATTTGATTCAAAACCAAGAAAAAACACAAACAATAGAAAGCAGAAACACAGGTGATCCAGATACTGGAGTTAGCAGACAAGGACTTATTTATGTTTAGGAACATAGAGGAAGAAAAGGTACAAAAGAGGTAAGAGTGTGGAGAATAATCCTAGAGGGTTGGTTGTGTGTGTGTGTGTGTGTGTGTGTGTGTGTGTGAGAGAGAGAGAGAGAGAGAGAGAGAGAGAGAGAGAGAGAACATTTTAGAACCAAAGAAATATTTGTCAATAAGAACTCAGTGGATGCGTTTATAAAGTTATTGGACTTAGAACATGATAGTATTAATGAACTAGAAGGCAAGTATATAGAAAATGTTTAAACTCAAGCACAGTTTGATTGATTGGGGGAAAATAAAATAGACTAAAACAGAAGGGAGCATAAAACACATTGGGGATCTGGTCAAAGGATCGGTCCCATATATGATTTGAATTCCAAAAGGAAAAGAGAGAATGAATTGGTCAGAAACAATATAAGAGTTATTTCTCATGAAACTTTCAGGACATCATTATAGTCAAGAGGATCTGTGAACCTCTAACGATGTATTAAAAAAAATACCCACACTCATGTACACAATGGGATGACATCTTAACTTGCTGAGGATGCCAACCTAACATTCTAAACCCAGTGAAAATATACTCTTAAAATTAAATGAAGTAAAAAATACTTTAGACAAATATAAATTGAGAGAATTAATCACCAGCACATTTTCACTAGAAGAAATACTACAAGGGAGTTCTTTAGGCAGAAGGAAAATGATCCTCGAAGACAGTGAGAATGGGGCTTACATGAAGTTAAAATATTCCATTGTTCTAGGATTATTAAATGTAAAATTTTTATCAGATTACATTAAGTTAGGGATGCATGTTGTAATCTCTGGATTAACAACTGAAATAATATTGAAAGTGTATTTCCAGCAAATTAAAAA